CCAAAATGTGAAAAGTGATTTGAATCAAGAGATACTTTGCTGCCCGTCGATTCACATAATAAGCTCTTCAGAAAAAAAATTTGGATCGATTCTGTTCCCCGTATAAAAAGTCGGTTTTGCGCTAATGATTTATCATACTTTCTCTAACTTGAAAACTTGTGAAGTGGTGCGACTATTTCAGAGAATCGTGGTATAAAGGGCCGATCATATTCAGCAGCTTTCACAAATGAAACAGCCTGTTTAGCTGTTTTTGTATTGGTAATTCTTTAACAGTCTGGACTTTTTCTTATAATGGTAATAATCCATGTTCATTTACTTGATGACCCAATAATTTTATTCCTCGTTTAAATAATTTCTCTGAACATGCCCATATTCACCACAATTAAAACACCGAAGATGAGCATGTGAATTCATTAAATTTCTTTGTTGTTTAAATTTTCTGGAATTATTTTGGTAATTACCACGATTAGATGAATTTGACTGTTGATTACTGTGATAAATTTCAGTATTCTTCAAACTTCTCTGTTCTTGATCACCAAGATGTGAGGGAGCAACTTGAAAATTTGACTGTGTCTGACTTCTAACTTGATACTGTGGACGAAACCTTCGTTGTGAATCTGTATGCACTGTACTTTGAGCTGAATGATATTGTTCATAATGAAATGGACGAATAGAAGCAGCAACTAATGGTTCTTGGCAAAAAACAGGTTCCACTTGTTCATAAGGTAAACTTCCTTGAACGACAGAATTTCTGATCAATTGAGCTTCTTGAAGATTTTAAACAGCCGTAACAAATTGATCAGTTGTTTGCATTAATTGTCTAATTTGTAATAGATGAGCTTCAGCTTGCATATCACGCGGTAGAACTTTAATTAATTTCATGACTTTCTCAGCTTGAGTCATTTGAGGATTATATTGGTTACACAGTTTTAATTTGGCATGAACATATTCTTGCACTGATTCATCTGACTTTTTTAATCGTTGACTGAGCTCTTTATCCACTGCCAATAGACTTCTTTTGTCGAGAGAAAGCCGTTATAACGGCTGCTGCAAATGCAGCCCAACTTGTATATGGCCCACGATGTTGTTGATACCATTCAGCTGCTAATCTACCTAATCGAGTAGGAATAAGTCTAACACGATCGGTATCAATAATATTGAATTGACCAAATGTAATGTCGGCATGATCACACTAACTTTGCACTGAGTGCTTAGGTTCACCTGTACCATCTTGTTCATCCTCGACATTATTGTCTGCCTATTGTCTGCCCTCGACATTATGTCAAAGCTATTTCCCGCTGGGCATCATGATACTGCTGTCGTTTTGAACGACATCGGCGATGTATTACGTAAACAGGGAAAGATAGACAGTTGTCTCAGCCACCATTCAAAAGTCTTTAAAAACCAAGAACAACGGCTTCCTGCGACCCACCAAAACCTGGCCGTAACCCTATATCAAATAGACAGTGCTTTAGGTCTTCTGCGTCGAAGCTTTGGAATATCATTTGAAAGCGCTTAAAATAGTATAAAATGCCGATAATGTTGGCCAGAGTTTTACTGCTGACAATCTACATTGTCTTGGCAATATTTTCTGGCACAAGCATGAACTCGAACAAGCAGAAGAATATCACAATAAAGCATTACAAATTAGAAAACACTTATTCCGACTAACCCCCTTGATTTGGCGCAAAGTTTAATGGATATTGGACATATTTATTGTTTGAAGAAAGATTACGATCGTTCACTGGAATAACAACAGTCCCTTGGGAATATCACACGAAATCTCTGAATATTAGAGAACAACATTCTCCGAACGGCGATCCTAATATGATTAAAGGATATGACAGTATCAGATTAGTTTTTCATAGAAAAGGGCAACTTGATCGAGCTCTCGAATCCTTCGAAAAGGCTTCTCAGCTGAAGAAAAAAATCATTCCTCTGAACTATGAGGAGCGAGCAACCAGTTTTGATTATATTGGTGCTGTGTATTATGATCAACGTAAATATGAACAAGCTGCTGAATACGTTCTACAGGCACTTGAAGCCAGTCCTCGAGGCAACAATGTTGCTGTTGCGAGGTGATTGAATAATCTGGCTGCTGCCTATGAACAACAAAACGCATTTGGTGTTGCGTTTAGATATTTAAAATAGCATTGGCTAAATATGAAAAACATTTACCAGACTGCAACGATAAATTTTGGGAAACTAAATGTAATGTTGATGTCATTATTCTTAAATGTGCCTTGCTCGTATTTGCCACACACGGATACCTTTTTACAAAATATGCGAGAAAGCTAGATCTTCCACTTTGATGGACACGTGCTTTTTGCTGTTTTCATTATCTGATCTGCTTCATTGGATATTTGGAGTGAGTTTTTGTGAAAGTGAGGGCAAGTGTTGGTTTTCACATATGTTGTAAAGAAAAGTGGATCGAATAAACCCGAAAATGTGTGACTTGATTCAGCAGCCTTCCTGCAGTTTACTGGGTTCAAAATTCAAATGATCAAATCAGTCAAGGCCGAAAAGCAAAACCCTCGAGTTCCACCTGAGCAATACCTACGCTAAGCCAAACTCTCTACTTAAATTGTTCTTAAGTTCAAGGGCTTTTAAGAATCTTGTGTGATGCCCTCCAGCTAGCAAACCTAGTTTTTTTCTTACCACCATCGTAGCATGTCTTGACGACAAACGCAAAAAGAACAGACAGTAGCGAAAAATGACAGCAACACCAAAAAAAAGAAAACACAAAGTTTATTACGCGACGAATATGATTCGAAGCAGGGGTGTTCACAGGACAGGACAGAACATTTATATCTTAAATAATTATATTTTTTAAATAAATGTTGATACGATGACTGAAAATATTTTTTAAAACAGCTATAGAATATACCAGCATCGTCAATAGCTGTATTTGTACCTTGACCCAATGGTGGGAGAATGAAACGTGTAGCATCATCCGTTGACACTAGCACATATCAGAGCTGGAACCAGTCCGGTAAATCGGTACCGGACAGGATCGATTGAAAAAGTCAACTGGGTCGGTAGAGACCGTTATTTCACTTATCTAGTTGTTGTTGGAATCTTATCTAGAACATATCTAGCTTTTCTGGTCAATAGATCGAGCCATGTTTTCTATAACATTTTAACCGCCTCTTGCTTGCGCATAAAAGTACGCATAGCGTTCCTTTTCTTTTTGTTCTGTACTGAAATTCATTTTTTCTAAATCACAGGCGGAAAAGTCAGAATTCTGCGCGTAAGTCTCAATATTCTCAATCAGAACTCAACTTTTGAGCAATGATAAAAATATCGTGTTCGGAATCAGAATCAAAAACTGAGTCGGATGATGTGTATTTCAATCCTATTCGACTACTTTAATTTTTTTTGAATTTTGAAAGCTTTGTTCCACACTTTATGGTTATTTTACTTGGAATCATTGTTACTCTTAAAACTGCAAACAGTAACCACTGATTCACTTTGATGGTATAGGGTCATACTACTGCAATGGGATATCAGAGGATAAAGTATGGGCAATTTCAGTAGAGTATTTCCGTATAGAGACGTGCTTCTGACTTTTCCGCCCTTACCTTACCCTACTCTCAAAAAAAAAAGGTATAGTATGAAACTTGTGAGGTTCTGTGGAACTTTCCCATGCCAGTCAGGTATGGTGCGGATCTGCGAAACCTCGTTAAGGTTTAGTAATCGAAGAGGTTTCGCATGACATCCATCGAGATTTTGTATCGTACTCTTCAGGGTTTCGTAGTCCAACGGGTTTCATAATACACCTGTTGAAGGTATCGTAGTAGGAAATGTTTCGTACTATACCTCTGTCCCGATCCCTTCGCTCAACGTTCGCTAAGGACTATCTAAAGTACGTTCTTAATTTTTCTTAAGATACGTTTTAGATTTAAAATGTTTCTTTTATCGGCTGCGCCAGAACAGAATTCTGTTCTGGCGCAGCTGATAAAAGAAACATTTTAAATGTAAAACGTATCTTTTCTGACCAAAGTTTTAACATTTACATTTGTTGCTACAGGCCTATTATCGTATATCTATCTTTTACGCCACGTCACAAGGCAAAGAACAGAACGAAAAAATGGACTAAGTAAACGACGTACGTGAAAGTTGCTTATTTTCTGTAGCAGATAGACTTGTATGCTGAAATTGTGATGTGACTATATTGAAACTTGATGACAGTAAGAAGAAAGTGAAATAAGTCCTAGAAAGAGAATGCATAAACTGCACGTAGCACTTTACTTCGCTTTTAAAAAGTAGCCTTTCAATGAAGTGTTAGGTTTCCAAGAATTTTAGATGGCCTCTCCTACTTTAAATTCGTTTTCTCCATCATCGTCATGAAGTTCTCCACAAACTTCTACCCCTCCCAAACGTATGAGAAAAAAAGCGAGTCTTGAGTGTTCTTCATATATTATGTAGAATGGCTTTTTTGTCATTATTGTAACTGCACATAACAAGACACTCTTAAATTGACTGTTTGAGTTGGGACAAATTTTGAACAGATTTCTTATGTATAAGACTCAGTGCTTTGTTTGCTGAGAACTTTATTCTTTTGCACGTTTGTATGTGCCAAAAGGTATGTCTATGTGTCTGAAACTCCCCAATTGATTAATATTCAATTTCAGTTCATAATAATGGTTTACTCTTCTACTGTCATGTGGTTTGCTGTTTATTGATGAAACTTATTTTCTTTCTCTACTTCTTCTACTAGCGAAGAGTAAGTGGCTATCGTATGAATAAACGGCTATCGCCTATGCATTAGAGAAAAAACAAACTCTAAACGATAGTCGCCTGTCGGTAAGAAAAAATATAAGACAGAGATAGAAAATAACAAACCTATAATAACGCGTAACTTTCAGAATAGAACAGAAAAAACTATCGAAACAGTTTCATCTCATCTCTACCTACTATACTATAAAGTCAAGGGAATATCATTTAATTCATTTATATGGATCCAAGAATGTGGAACTGTAGTCAAATAATCAAATGGTTGTCATCGTTCAGCAGCAATCAGCAAATTATTGATAATTTTGAAAGTAAGTCTTTTTAAGATGTTATCTTCAAACTACCATTTTTGTTCACTTTGTGCCAAGCCACAACCAAACTACACATTTCGAAAGCTATTTAAACATATACGCTATTTTCATCTCGGCGAGCCTAATTTTAAAATTCGATGTGAACTTGGACCGACATGCGGAACAACATATTCCACATTTGGTGCTTATAAGACGCACATATACCGAGAACATTCACTTCTTCTCGATGAACAGCAATCATCACAGTTAATATCGTCGTCTGCACAAGATCATGATGATGATGCATCATTTTCAGCATCATACGATACACAACCATGTTACGACATCGGCGATAGACAAGAAGAAAAAGAGGAAGAAGACAAAGAAGAACAAGAAAGAAACAATGAAAACAATATTTCTTGGCCATTGTTTACGAGAAAGATCAATTGGCGATCGGACAGCCAAGTGAACCTGGATAATTTTCAAAAATATTATTTACGTTTTTTGTTAGAACTTCGAGAGGGCCATTCATTACCCCAGAATATTATACAAGCAATTACATCTGAATTAATCGCTTTGATTGAAATCGTTCATGAGCTGATAAAAAAACAAAACAAA